CACATTGAAAACTTCACCAATCAATTTTCTTTTCTGATAAATGGCAGAAAAAATTTATTATTTTTCAGCGAAACATCTCAGAGTATTTCGTATCTATTGTACCTCACATCCAGGTGTATATAAACGTGGTGCCACCAACAATCAGGTACACAATAGCTCTGTCGCTTTATGGTAAATTTGCATTTGTATTGCAATTCATCAAAATCACTAGGGAAATGTTTGAGATAGATGGAATAAAAATATATTCCTTGTGGTTACAGTTTCGTGTATTAATAATCACTTTATCAAGTCAAGTAATGTATATGCATGACGTTCATTTTCTTCGTAGTATGTGAAATATAATATAAACGTAATATTCATTTCAATAAATATGCTATTTATGACGGCGATTCCATTCCAGTTTCTTTACAGGGGGGATCTTTTGGCCTGAACCGTACAAACTGTAGTGACTTAAATATTTTTAAACTATTTCATATTAATGTACAATCAATGTAGATGAAATTTTAATTTTTACAACATTGAACAGAGTTAATATTCTGTGTGTGTCGGAGCACTGGTTGAGCAACCAGGAACTGAATTCCATTAAAGTTGGTGATTTTGTACTGGCAGCCTCATTCTGTCGCCCGGAGGGCCAGCATCGTGGAGTAGCAATATTTTTGAAATCTTGGCTGAAATAAAAAACTTTAGATATGTCGAATTTTTACATTCAAAGCCACGCTGAATTCTGCGCCGCAGAAGTTCTGAATACTAGAACGGTACTTGTGACACTCTATAGATCTTCGACTTATGGTAGTTTTTCTATTTTTGTGGACAACTTCAATGCTATGATTAACTTTCTTTTCTGTAGGTATGACAGAATTATAATTGTTGCGATTTTAATGTCGATCTAACATCAACTTCTAATCAGTCATCTGAATTGAAAAATTTAATACAGTCCTAAGGCCTGGAGTTTTTTGTGAATGAGCCCACCAGAAATGTTATGTCAACTGTATCTTGCTTGGACAACGTAGTCTCGAATTTTCCTTCTCGTGATTTAAATGTTAGTGTTTGTGATCCTACTTTATCGGATCACTTTGGTCAGCTTATTAAGGTTAATGTAGCATCAAACTCCATAAATAAAAATAAGAATAATGACTATTTTAGATTAGTTAATGATAAATCAATAAGTGTCTTTATCGATAAACTGTCTCGAGTTCGTTGGCCTGACCAGATTTGGAATGCTCAGAATGCTAATGACATGTGCACCTCCATTATTAATACCCTGTCTGAACTCTCAAAAGCATCTTTCAACCTTACTAAAGCTAAGGAGCACCGCTGCCCTTTAGTGTGGTTTTCTAATGAACTGAGAGAAATGCGTAAGCGTGTTTATGACTTAAAAAGAACGTAGAATTGTTATAGAATCACTGACTGGCATAGATATAAAGATTACCATAGAGATTATAAACGGGCTATTAAAGAAAACAAAAAAATGCGTACGACAATATCATCACTACCTCGGAGGATACGTCCAAAATTACGTGAAAAATTGTTAATTTCGAAAGGAAAACAAATAAAAATGCAATAATATCTACCACAATTTTGTCAGACACTTTCAATAAATTCTTCTCATCGATTCCAACTAATATCATAAACAGTATAGCCACACCGTCGACCAGTGCCTTGAGTTTTTTGTACCGTTTCCCAAAACCTCCATTCTCTTTTTTTATGCCACCAGTGTTGGAATCTGATGTAAGGCAAGCCATACTCAGACTTAAAAATTCAAAGTGTCTGGTCTATTATATATTGAATGCCAGCATTTTCAAAAAATGTCTAACTTCACTTTTAGGACCCATTACCTCACTTATTAATAAATCCATGGAGGAGGGGGTTTTCCCCCAAAAACTTAAGATCACAAAGATTTTGCCCTTGCATTAAAAATTGGATCCAGAAAATCTAGATAATTTCAGACCAATTGCAATTGTCCTAGTAGTAAGTAAAATTTTTGAAATTATAATTAAAGACAATTTAATGAACTACTTTGAGGACAAAGGACTGTTTAATCAGTCTCAGTTTGGTTTTCGCAGAGGGAAGTCCACTATTCGGGCTTTGCTTACATTGATTGACAGTGTGGTTGAAGACCTGGATGAGGGTCGCTCAGCCTCGGTCACCATGTGTGACCTTTCGAAGGCCTTCGACTGTGTTGACATTGAGATTCTGGCTCAAAAGCTTGAATACTATGGCGTCAGAGGCAGTTCACTGAGTCTGATTGAATCGTATTTGGCAGACCGTGTGCAATATGTATATGTTAATAGTACCGAGTCTAATATGGTAACGGTTAATAGGGGAGTTCTCCAAGGATCCATCCTCGGTCCCCTCCTGTTTCTAATTTATATTAATGATCTGGTAAAGGCCGTCGATACGGCAAACTGCATTCTATTTGCCGATGATTCGACCTTGATCTCTTCGGACAAGGATATTGCAACTTTGAAGGTGATGGCTGACGCTGATCTTCAGGCAGTTGACCAATGGTTCGCCGCCAATAAACTTAAGCTTAACACATCGAAGACGAAAAAAATGCTAATAACATCCAACAAAAGAGCTGTAAAGTCACAGCCTGCTAAGCTTCTAGGTATCTTTCTCGATACCTTCCTAGCATGGTCGGCTCATATCGAGTATCTATGTTCCAAACTCTCGTCTCAAATCTTTGCATTAAGGCAATTAAAAGACTGCATTTCGCAGAAGACCTTAAAGACTATCTAATTTGCACTCTTTCACAGTCATCTGATCTATGGCGTGCTTCTTTGGGGTAACTCTTCAGATGCTGATCGAGTTTTTCGGCTTCAGAAGGCAGCAGTTCGTATTCTCCAAGGGGCTCCTCCTGGAGCACATTGTCGTGAGCTTTTTATTAAATTTAAGATTCTAACTCTGCCTTCCCTATTCATATACTACAACCTTCTGGAGGTCCATGCTGGTTTGCAGAGGTATCCTACTCATGGTGACTACCACTGCTACGACACACGCGGATCTAGCAATATTGTTCCACTTAAGTCTAGATTAGCCACTACTCAGAAAAATAAACTAAATTTGAACATATATAACATATTTGTGAACAACTATAACCGCTTGTATAAAGCTAACGCTAAGCAATTTACGATAAGAAAATTTAAGTTATCGGTTAGAAGCTATCTTTCCAGTTATTATTTTTTACTCAGTTGAGGAATTTCTATCGCATATCCCAAGAATATAGTGTATACTGTTAACTCAAGCAAATATTTTTATTTATAATTTTTTTTTCTATAAATATATGTTTATATACATATTATTTTTTCTATTTCTTGTTAAATTTATCAAATTGTTGTTGTATTTATATTTTCTTCTTTTTGTTATTGTTGCTGTTATTTCTATTTTGTTATATTACTGAGTTTCGACTTCACAAATACATGTATTTATAGGTGGTCAATAAACGATATCTATCTATTACCTACATTTTGAGGTTGGGACCCACTGAAGTTCAGTTAGTCGAGAGACTTGTTGGAAGTGAGGAAACCAATCTGTATTTTGTTGACAGATATTTCAGAAAACTGCCATTGCACAGATCCGTATTTGTAACCACTTTTATATTTTCCATACGTACACTACACTTGCTAGTTCTAGGAACTTCTTATAAAAAACAACTCAAAGGGAAAAAATGCATTTATAAAAAAGTTTAACTTAAATTTACATGCGACATAAAACGAATTATTAAGAGACTGCAAGTAAGGGAATTTCGGGTTTTAGTCGATGCACACAGGACCAAATCGCCAATTTATGACATCGAAGCAATACTTTTCTCAAAAAAAATATTTGGAAACAAAAATATTTGTTGTTGGATTTCCGAGCTCCAACGCAGTAAATTTGTTAAGTGAATTAAAGAGTTTCTCGGGGAGACTGGAACCAGTGGTGGAAGATGAACAAACTTACGTTTATAACCACTACTGCACCACAACTTTATTTAGAACACTGGACACGTGTTTCGCCAACCAAGTTGGCATCATCGGCAGATGATAAAAACTAGTTTATATAAACTGCCGATGATGCCAACTTGGTTGACGAAACACGTGTCCAGTGTTCTAAATAAAGTTGTGGTGCAGTAGTGGTTATAAACGTAAGTTTGTTAAAGAGTTTCTATTCAAGAGATTAAGTCATCTCGTCATTAATAAATTGGCTTTACATCATCCCGAGCTTCATCCAGTCTTAACTACAATCTTAAGCTAAGCTTAAAATCGAGCCCCAGGGTAATGTAGATTTTTTCATAATGTCCTCCATGGTGCACAGAAACCATTAAAACGAGCATATATAATTAAAAGGTACGAACAAAGCTCAGTCATGTTTCCTCTTCCCTCACTTTACTATTAAAGGAAGCCAAAAGCACAAAAACCACGACATTGCAGCGGAACAAGCACATAACTTTCATTTAAAGGAACCAACAAAGCTCAGTCATGTGTTTTCTAATATGAGAAACCTCCTGGACTCATAGGTAATTTTGCATAGATACTTCATGATCTTGCCAATTTAAATTATAAATCATACAATTTCTTAACCTCATTTGATTAAAGCTGTGTTTTATTTTATTAAATAAAAGTTTTACATAGGACACTACCGGGTGACAAGGAGGCATAAGATTTTGCAATGAGTATACCATATGTTTTTTATTTAAAATTTGACGGCTGCAATACCAATGGTGTACCTTTTTATACGACCTCCATGTTGAGATATAGTTTTCACAGTTATATATAAAACAATTGTTTGTTTGTTTTTATGGTGGTCATTCGTCTGTTACCTCTAATACCAAGATTAAACTATTTTTGTCGTAAAAATGGTGATCTGATCCTGTGTGTCCGCGTGATCGGGCGGCAACGAATATTTTCACCCTTGGCACCGGACCACTCACCGACGCGAAATAAAAAGCGTAACATCGAAAGCAACATCTTTATTGAAAACAGTGACATCTAACGACATGCTCCGTGCTACAGCGAACATACCTATACTGCGCAGAAGCGTTCGACGGCGCGGCCATCGCCAGCGCTTTGTAACGCGCCTGCTCATCGGTCGGCAGCACTATGTCGACCGATCGCGATCTGAGAGCGACGTTGGGCCCAACAGGCACTTCCAAACTGACGCCGGAATGTTGCAGTTCCTCAGTCTTTTTCTCCGATACTTTTGAGAAACACGAATCGACAGACGCTGCCCGGTCGCGTCTCAAATCGGGCACCTGCAGGTAGATATCGCGCACCACCAACCCCGGGATGATGGTGCTAACGATCTCGGCATCGGAAAGCCCCCCTTCAGAAGTAGCGTCCGATAGGGGCTCGGATGGCGCATCCGATACGTTCTCTAATGAGGTACCCGTCGGTTCTGCGAAAAAAGCCTCCTGCCGATGTATTGACTTTCTTCGGGTCTGCGTGGGTGTTAAGGGCACGTCGGACTCTGGTTCCGGCGGGAAAAATTCGATCATTGGTGATAGTCGAATGGGCGGAGGTGATTGTATCGGTGGTGACGGTATGGTGGGAGATAGCGTCACCGTTATGCTGCACTCGGGAGGCGGGTCGTCTTCGCACTCGCTGGAGGAATCACTCACGCTGATGGAAGGCTGCTGTTGCATGGGTGTCATTTCCTCCGGAGGGTGCAACCGGTTGTACTCTTCCACGCAGGTGCAATGAACGCATACCTGCAACATGAAGATAATCGTGAATAACGTGTGGGAAAGTCGGCATCGGAAATGTTAGTTGATTTCGTAAAAAAATCTGTTCAAATATCTTTACCAAAAATACTGAAATACTCTTAAGGAACAGGTATAAGAGATTTGGCAAAGCTGCTGAAAAGTCAAGCGGCCGTGTAGGCGTTAAAAATAATCCAGTGCGCCTCCAAGAGTGCAAGAAAGTGCCAAGATGGCCTATTCGGGTTAGGGAATCGTAATAATGTAACACTGATATGGATACCAGAGCATAGTGGACTAGAAGTTTCTGAGCGCAAGCGAATAAACGACTCAGAGGAATCTCGTAAATAGCTAATTCGAAGGGAGATAGATAATATAAAAACGATTGGGATACAATATTCATTACAAGAATTACTTATATTGTAAGAAATAACATTCCCTGAAATAGAACAAGATTCTGAACTACTATTAAGGCAATGAGTTTTTGGTTGAATCATTAATGAATACCTTATTTTGCTGGGCAAGGGTGTGAAATTTAATTGTACATATGTAATCGACCACCATTTCTGTGACGAAATTGTCATTTATCGAAACAATTTTGCAACAAAAAAAACGACAAAATAATTTATCTACGCAATAGTTTGATTAACTCTGAACGTAAGTGCTTGTTTAATGCGAGTTATTGAGATAAAGTTTATATACCATCTGAGCACTTACCGGACTTTTACCCCCGGACGATCGCCTCCTCTGGAACCTCCTCAGGGGCACTTCCAGGTAATTCCCAGATTCCTCGCTGCCCCCCGAATCAACGCTTCGAGACCGTTGCTCGGGAAACTGCGGCACCCGGAGGAGAGCATTAGGATCAGAAGACTGACCCGCGGCCTGTTGCTGCCTTTTCGCCTCCAGCTGGATCTCGTCAAAGGACGCGGATCGCACCTGTAATAGTAAAGTGTAAAAAATAGCTGATGTTTCTTAACGTATGATAATTAATCGTTAATCAATGTACCCCAGGTTCATAGCAAAATAGTTTAATGTAAATTAGTGAATTAGTTTATAAAGTAAAATAAAAAAAATGACCTCGCTTTACTTTCGACAGGTCGTCAAAAAAAGTATTTTATATCGACGTAGTCTATCTAATCAGCCGTAGTAACGTTTGGCAAATCTATCGTACTAATGCTTTTCACATCTAAGATTTTTTGAAAAATTATTATTATTTTTGGGAATAAATAATAATTAATAACTTTGGGTTAGTTGAGCAAGTCTCGTAATTCTTTCATTCTTCCAAATTTTTGAGTCTAATGAACATATATTGAAGAATATGACTTCCGCCGCCATTTTAATAATTTCATTTTTCTGGACTAAATAAAATATTATTAAATAAAAAAAATATTTATGCCATATAGATACGAGATATATTGAGAACACTGAAAAAAGTTAAGAAGAATGATTATGTGCATGGTCGAGTAATTTCAAAAGTCCTTTTAAATAAAAAGACCCTACGACGTTATACAATCAATATGGTTGACAATTCAGCAATTCGACAGTTGCCTTTTGGGTGTGGTATTTTCGGCAACATGTCAAAATACGCGCACAAAATATCAAATTTTCACGGTAAAAAAGTAATTAAAGTGATAGAGAATGAATGGTGACGTGCCTGTTTGGGCACCTCTAAGCTGCTCTGGGTTTTCATTTCCGCTCCAGTCGGCGTACGGGACCTCTTGAATGTGGTCCTCAGCCGCTGCATGTCTTAACGGGGAAGACCTGGCCGTCGACCCCGGTGCCGGGCCTCTTTCATGTCGATACTGCAACAAAACTGAATTTTAGGTGTTTGTATTTAATTACATTTGCCGTTATACTTTCTGTTCGATGCCTGCTATAGGAATATGAGTTTCTAAGAAACTGAACTCGATTTAAATTGGAATGCAGCCCATATCGATTTTGTGAGCCAAATGTTATTTAGAGGGGGACGGCGAGTAATGGGTAATCATTTCTTTGTGGTAAATGTTAACACTAATGGCTAATACTTTTTCACCTGTTTGTTTTGTTTTTGACAATTTTTGGAGGCGACATGCTTGTATATATCTAACTAACAAATATTTATTAAAATGGTAAGTCCTTGCAATGCATTTTGTAGTAATATTGTATATATCCGGCAAAAGAAAGTTTTATCTATCTTAAATAATTTGAATGTGTTTTGTAAATAAATAATAATTCGACAAGATTTTACATAAATAAAAAAACATTTTCATGAAGTAACGAAAATTATGAATTTGACTTTATCATTTCTATGACATAATAATAAAAATATTTCGGTAAATGGGAGTGTCTTTTTTTTTAAAGAGCATTTCATACTACATGCATATATTTTAATTTTACATGTCTATTTCAAACTTCTAAGTATATCAACTTAAATGTGCTTTTTTCCAAGACTTTTTCAGAATAATTAAAGAAAATATTGTTTGATCATCAAATAATAATACATGATTTCAGTGAGAATTATATTGGTAAATAAATTAATTGAACAACGAGAGGCATTTATACAAATGAATCAGAGAAAGAAAGAGAGAGAGAGAGAGAGAGAGAGAGAGAGAGAGAGAGAGAGAGAGAGAGAGAGAGAGAGAGAGAGAAAATACGATTCGCTCTCGGCTGGGCAAGACTGCTGTGGTCATTCGCCCATTTTCCGGCATCCGCCGAGGATTTTTCTTTTGGTCAATGATCAACTCGTAAAAAGAAGTATAAACAATATTTGCTCTCAGCTAGCAAAAAAGGATTTTCAAAGATCACAAATCAGGAATACGGACGCTTCTGGGAATTTGAAAAAAAAAAAGCAAAAAGTTTCGGAAATGGCCAACCAAAGTAATACTAGATTACCTAATATCTCTTTTCGTTTATAAAAGAACTTTTTCTAAGAAATGTGGTAATAGGGTTCTTGAAAAGTCGAAATAAATTTTGCAACTCACATTACCATAAAAGAAAATGCTGCTACAACTTGATCACCTTTTTAGTTTACAAATATGGCCGCCATATACTCCGTAAATCAATGAGAATTAACCAGGATTTTTTCAAAACTTTATCAAAAACTACGACAAAATATTCCTATCTATAATCTAAGGTAAGACCCCAGGCTAACAATGTGTTACACAATCACGTGTCTGGTGGAAACAACAATGTGTTTACAACTTCGGTTTTTGCAATGTATTAACGAACCTGCATAAAGCCTACCACGAAGACATAATTTTAGCACGCAATATGGATGCAAATGTTGCCTGATGTTGGGGAAGAGTTAGGCCCCGAGGCGGCTTACCCTCTCACTTTGTATGCGTCGGGGCAGACATTTTGTATGAGTATCCATTTCCATGGAGATAAAACTTGTCATCTGCGAAACCCCGAGATTGTACTTTAATAACCAAAAAACTTGCCCGACAATAAACAGAAAATAAATTAAAATAATTATTTGCTTTATTTATTTATATTTATTGAAAAAATGATTTAAAATATAAAAATACCACCACTTAGTAACGTAATCCATTAAATAAACTGGAATGGGTCCAGAAGTGTTGTCAATATCGATTTTGTAGAGCAATTTTTATTTAGAGACTGACGGGTAGTGATGGGATTCCTTTCCTTGTCAAACCCGTTAATACGAAGCGACTGTTTATGTTTGTTTCTGAAGTTTTCCACCATATTTTGTGGATAAATATTTTTTTACTTCTAATACTAAGAAATGATTTTAATCTTATTTTGAATTACGCAGTTGAGACATATTTTAGAAATAAAAAGTAAAGCAGTATTTGGGTATTCTCTACCTATCGATCTAGTTTTTAATTTAAATTAAATTTAAACAGAAAATTTCAATTTTTTTCTTTAAAATTGGTTGAATGTATATATATATATATATATATATATATATATATATATATATATATATATATATATATATATATATATATATATATATATATATATATATATATATATATATATATATATATATATATATATATATATATATATATATATATATATATTCTCACGTATTGATTCACGGATGGAAAAATGTGATGACACTATACTCCGGGATATCATCCGTTCGCTCGTTGAACTCCGACTGGAATCCTGCAAATCCTGCATCCGACTGGAATCCTGCAGACGTTTCGCCAAAATCTCACTTGGCATCTTCAATGCTCGCGCTCCGAAAACACTTCGAACACTGCAGCAAGTGTTCGAAGTGTTTTCGGAGCGCGAGCATTGAAGATGCCAAGTGAGATTTTGGCGAAACGTCTGCAGGATTCCAGTCGGATGCAGGATTTGCAGGATTCCAGTCGGAGTTCAACGAGCGAACGGATGATATCCCGGAGTATAGTGTCATCATATATATATATATATATATATATATATATATATATATATATATATATATATATATATATATATATATATATATATATATATATATATATATATATATATATATATATATATATATATATATATATATATATATATATATATATATATATATATATATATATATATATATATATATATATATATATATATATATATATATATATATATATATATATATATATATATATATATATATATATATATATATATATATATATATATATATATATATATATATATATATATATATATATATAGAATAGTATATTTAGTCTTGTACTAATAAAAAAATATATGTTGCTATTTTCTGACTATTAATTTCTTTCTTTCCTTCATCATTAAATAATAATGTGTACATTATTTCAATGAAATAAACAAACAACGAGAATGCTCAATTCTCATATTTGTATAAAGGAACAACAGAAAGACAAGAATCCCCATTACTTGCGGTCTTTTCCTATCGTAACATTTGCCTGACTTTTTTATGATGCTGTTGGCATTTCAAAAAATATCGACTCCTTAATGTGCCAAAATATGAAACAGGTCCTAAACCTATCTAAGCTTCAAGCACCGTATCGTACTCTATCCTCTAACCTTATAAAAACGCATAAAAATTAACGTCAAAAACATTTATTTAGAAGAATTATGAATATGAATTTTAGTTAATAACTCTTATTAATCAATACAATGTCAAACGCTCAATTTTGCTTATCATTTTCATAGTATGGTGAAAGGTGGAAGCAGTTACGTATCTACAATTATAACTTAGCTTTTGATATCTTTCACCAAAGGAGGAGCTCATTCAAACCAATCTTATGTATATTCATTCAAATGTTCGCTGTATATTTTTAGGCGTTGTATGAGAGGAGTGTCATACATACAGTGTCACTGGTCATTGGACCCCTTCCTGAAAATGCACTTCGTATTTAGAATGTTAATTAGTAACAAAAAATGAACCTAAACAGCTTTTGTTTGTATCAAAAATACAGCACAGCAATTATGCAGCAAAATTGGGTAAAATATATTCGTCCATTAAATTTACCGATTTAAATATACTGATGTATTTTACATGTAAAGCTTCGTTATTTTGCAATCAATATATTCCAGGAAAACTGTTTCGCAGTGCCCGACGATTATAAACAACCGATAAACGTTTTTTGCATTAAAAATAAAACAAAGAATTCAATTTTCGCAGTTAATACACCCACAGGAAAGACCAAGACCGATGTCCACAAAAGAGGATAAAGTTTTCAGTAAGGCTTTATTCTCGGCGAGCGCAAGGCTGTCAAGCATTGTTTTTTCGCCCCCAACTAGACATATTTCATTTCCGGATAATGGGACAACGATCTTGTAAAAGAAGTAGTAACATTGCAATTTAATAATGTGACAATAAAATCCCAAATTTTACCTGTAAGATACCCAGATATCTTTGATATATATGAGATAAAAATATGCAATTTCATGTGTTGATCGGATTGAATATTGCGAACATTTATAGCAAAAATACGATTGAATTGAGCTTTCGGTTTCACCGGAAATAATCTTAACTTTCTTATTTTAGTTAGAACACCATGTATATTTTTAATTTTTTGGACTTACTAAACAATTTTAAACAATTTTTGTCTAGCATACTTCATGTAGAAAATCAATAGTTTTTTTAAATACCAATACAAAAACCATATACTTACTACACCTATTAATTATTAGAAGACGCGGTGTCTATAACTGTTAAAATCTAGATTATCGTTTCTTTTGTTTTGAATCCATAGCCAACTACGCGACGCGTATGATTGTATATAGGTGACTGTGCCATTGTATTGATTTTCGTGCGAAAGCATTGGTAACAACATGGAAGTTGGAAGTTGAATTTATCATAATCAATCTTTGAAAAATCGGTTCGCGATTACTGCATTTTTTGAAAATGACGTCAAATTTTGTTTTTGTATTGAATTGAGTTTTGAATGAGGAGAAAGTAACCTTATTATTTTTTGTTCTGGCCTACTTTTTACCATTAAGAATATACAGGGCGTTCCATTTAAAATCACAAAGTTGAGGAGATTTGTTGTTTTTCTGCTGCTATTGTTCTTATACTACAAATGTTGTCATCCGGTATACATTTTTATTCAAAACCCTTGCGCAAATCACTAAATATACATCTTCAGCAATTGTAAGAATCGACACTGGTTCAGTTTATTGGCTATACTGTACTTCTACACATTTAAATTAAAATAATAAAAAAAATGATACTGAGCGATTTTGTTCGCGACCAAAAGAAAGGAGCCAGGGCAGAAAATTACTTCGATAAAGGTTGCTCAGTGCGAGGATTTTGGAAGTCCGGTGAAAGAAGGTATCACTAATTTAAGGAAAATTTACCGCATAGTATCGAAACGCT